CCCCGCCCCACGTGGGGTCAGGCAGCGACCGTCCGCCGCCCCACGTGGGGCCGTGCATCCCACCGCCCGCCCCACGTGGGGCCCCGGAGATCATTAATCCCGTTGAATCGAATGGGGGGGGGAGGGGGTGATGCCTCGGGGGGCCGGGAGGCATCGCGAGGCGTCGTGTGCTTGTATCCAGTTATTCTCGTCCTGGATCGATCGATCGATGGGTTCGTGGGCGGGGTCCGTAGGGTCTAATACGGGCATGTAGGTCCCCTTTGGGTTTAACAGGGTCATTTGAGGGGCGGGGTGGTCCGGATGGGAGCAGGGGCCGAAAAAACGCAGGGGTCGAGACACGTCTGGGGCGAAATCCGAGGGGGGGGGGGAGGGGGCGGGGGACACAAATGGTGCGGGAAGGGTCTGGTATTTTTCTCGCGTCGCACACACATGGGTGATGGCGGGGGCTCACTTGTGATATTGGGCTTGAAGGAAGTTGAATTCCTCTTTGATTCGATCACAGGCTTCGACGACGGTGAACTTGAGGGCCTGTCCGTGTTGAGGTGGGATGGGGGGGCGGGCTCCACCAGGCCCACCGCCACCCCCGGGACCCGCACTCCCAGAGACACTCACGCTGCCAAACATCGTCCGGACGCGGGGAAGGCCCGACTCAAACTGGCTTGGCTTCGGGAGAAGCACAAGCGTCTGCCCTCGTCGGGCCTCACCCTCCCCACGTGGGGCGTCCGCTTCAGCCAATCCGGGGAGGCCTTACTCGACGGAAGCGGGTCGCGGCGGCCAATGGGGAGTGAGGATGCGGAGGCTCCGGTACTCCTTTCCCCTAGCGCCCCACGCCTGCTCCTGTGTGGAGTGAGCAGCAGCCCCAAGCATCATCCAACAGCATTGATAGACGCCTAAGCGGGTCGGGAAATTAATGTTTGGGAATGTCAGAGAGGGGATCGATGAGCGGCAAGAGGCTTTGACTCGCGAGAGTGAGACAACCCGTCTCAAAGGGAATCCTTTTCCCCTCGTAACTGCGAGGCTCCTCGACGAGACGAAATGCGTTCCCCCGGACCCCGCTCTTCCCTTTCTGTGTAAATAATCGTCCGTCGGTCGGTCGTCGTCAGGCCTCGCTGCCCGAACGGACTCGATACAGTCGTGGAATCGGAATGCGGAGCGTCGCGACGTCGAGTCGCACGGAAACCAACCGGACGACACCTCTCCCCGTGTCCAATCCCCCCCATACAATGCTTTCTGGAGATAATCATACACACCAACAATCTACAAAAAGCCTCAACATGACAAGGCCTTTTAAAGCGCGTTTTCCATTGGCCGGCCACGGGCGTAGCGCGACCCGCCGTGCATCCCCTCCTCGACCAATCGGCATCGCGCTTCCCCGCCCCACGTGGGGTCAGGCAGCGACCGTCCGCCGCCCCACGTGGGGCCGTGCATCCCACCGCCCGCCCCACGTGGGGCCCCGGAGATCATTAATCCCGTTGAATCGAATGGGGGGGGAAGGGGAAGGCTCTTTCTCCTCCCTCTCACGACCCGAACCCAACGCTGAATTAGCGCGGAGAGGAAGAATTATTTCCATCGGAATTCAGCCGTGGGGGCCCCAACTGACGAAGCTTCCTCGAATTTCCTTCGAATTTTCACCCCCATTCCTGACCCAATTCCTCCGCCATCGATTTTCCCTTTTTCCTTTTCCGCTCCGGAATTCCAATGCATATAGATTAGTGCGGGTGCATCTACATGCGATCGTTTCGTGTATATTTAACGTGTTTTCTTCTCGGAACCTCCGACCTCGTCCCGTCGGATCGAGGTTGCCCTCCGCGAAAATTTCCGAAAACTCGACGAGGCGCGAAGGAAATTCCGAAGGGAACGGTGATGTATAGGGGACCCGGGGAAGGGCGTGGGTGTTCCGCGATATTTCATTTCGGTCGTTCCATTCTCTCCCCATCATCAGTCACGAGGCGGCGAACGTGACGAAGCCAAACGCGACCGCCACCTAACGAGTGACAGCGAAACTGCATCATCCGTCGGCGCTCGATAGGGCTCGGCAGCGGGTGGCGACACTCGATACCCCTTTGTTACTGTGACCTTCACGGGTTCCAGGAGACATTTTAGAGGAGAATGTGCAGATGCATGTGACACGAGTGTGGTCTGGTATGAGTATTAAGTATTTCTTGATGTGTCTATTTACTTAAGAAGAAGCCGAGACGTGCATTCAAAGACAGGTGCTGGAGGTTTTCAAAATGACGCCAGGCGGGTTCTTTGTCCACTTCATTCCTACCGCTCCTTCCACATAAAAAAAAAATTCTCTGCGCCGATGACCGGAAAATCACACGAACGTGAAGCGGCCGCGCATCGAAACAAGTCATGAAATACAATATCCTCGTACCGGTCTTTCATTCCTTTGTAATGGGAACTCATGGCGGAAGTGAACCTTCACCATTCTCTTCTGCCTAATACGGTATGCACGTACTCGAGATGTCAAGTACTTGTCCTACAACGTCCTGACAGCGTACTTCGAAGGCCTCCAACAGAGAAGGCTCTTGTCTCCTACCGGGGGGATTGCATCCCCGGAATACCCTTATCGCTGTCATGAATGATGCATTCATGCTTTATCTCGAGGAGTCCCGAACAGGGTCATCACGGCATTGAAACCAAACTTGTACTTATTTTATTCTGGCTGAAGGCCGAACATAGAGATGGTTGAGGGCAAAAAAAGCCAAAAACTCATCCTTAAGTGAGGGATCACACAAGTGCTTATTTGGCCAGTGTAATAATTATGATCATAATTAAACCGAGTGGAGCAACGCATCAGTGTTGATTTACAAAGTCCACTAAATGAGGGGGGATGCAAGCGGGGCGACACCGGTCCTTCACGACGCGTGCCGCTAAGCACTGGAGGCTCACGAACGGGACCAAGTTCACAGTTTCTTTGCTCTGTTCCCACAAGATCTGGGAGAAGGTCTTGCCCTGCGAATTTCGAATGTCCGGGTGGGCCCCCCGCTTCAGGAGGATGTGGAGCAGCTCCGCGTGCGACGGATTGTTGCGAGCCGCCACGTGCAGAGGGGTGTCGCCCGCGTCGTTGCGGGCATCTACGTCGGTCCCCAGGTCCAGGAGGTGGTACACGAGGCTTCGGTTGGGGAACGAGCAGATGGGGTATCGCCCGATCGTCGAGGACTCTCGACTCACCGCGAGGTGCAGGCTACCGTTTCCGTCCCTTCCCTTCGCGTTCATCTGCATGGGAAATTCGAACACAGTTGATCAGTACGGATGTAATTGACATCTACCAACTCGATCTTATAGTTGAAAGTGTTGCAGGTCGATGATTAGAGACTGCATCTCTTCGAGTGCCAGCCATACTGCCTGAAATCGTGCATTCACGAATAGCAAGCCCAACCTTGATCCAGTTTAGCCATTTCGGAAAACGGGAGGCATTCGTGCATCTCACCAACTCCTACAATTGTCATGCAAGACTCAAAGACCTCTAAAGATGCCCTTACGCATAGAGGGACAGGGTGTGACATGATGGGTGGTTTTCAACATTGAAATAAGATACACATACTTTTAGCAGGGCATTCCCAATGAAGTGGAGCAAGAAAAGACTTTCTGCAATGTAAACTTCAGGGAAAATGGGGATGAATGAAAAATTCACAGGAAGATGGAGGCGAATAAAAAATTCACACGCACTTCCAGTCCTATCGATTTAGGTATACTTGGAGCATGGATGTCAAGGACTCAATCCTCAATATTCAGAAGCCAAAATACATCAGTCGGAAACAGGCACATTAATCTTGTCCATTGTTAGCGCAAGGTTAAAAATGGCATGAAAATGAAAATGTAAGGCATTTTTCTGCACAGGCGACATTTCTCTTTTGCCTTGTCCATCAACCTTTCCTCAGCACATTACTGATACCTGCAAAGACAGGCTTCTTTATGCGAACAGGTGGAGAGAAGCAGTGGTTCCTATTTCTATGGCAAGCCAAATGAATTCATTAACGTTCTGAAGTACAATACTACATTTGTAGGATATGAATATCTTCTACACAGCCTCCTGCATTTCACAAATCCAAGCTCTGTCATATCTGCCTTGTGACTGAAAATACAACTGAAACCAACCACCTTGTGCATAATATATCATAGCTGTGGTTTTAGACTTCTCCTCCAGCTTAAATGTGTCCCACTCAGCTGTGTCTCAGTGTGAAGGCAACCAAAAAACTTTTTCTTTACTTCTCCTCGCTGACTACTGCTTGACAGCTGGCACTTTTTAAAATTATCAACTTCTTTTAATGCAAACCACTAGACTTCCAGCTATTGGCAGTGAATGGATGGCATCAAATGAATTGCAAAATGGCAAGCAGAATCCAGTGTCAGATGCACAATGCTGGATGGTTTTCTGGCATGAATACACCCATCAGAACAACAGGTGGGAGCAGCCATGCATATCAGGAAATTGAATATTTGGAAAATTCCACCCCTGTCCTGTCCACTTTCTTGTTCATAACATGTATTTCACAGTCAATCACTTCTGTCAAGTTATTATATGATTTGTACTTTTAATTTGACATTTCTAATATTGTTACAGTGATGAACATCAATACCTACTCTCCATACACATACAAGTTATTTTTATAGTATTTATCCTGTCATGGGAAGAAATGGTAACTTGCATGGGCTTCATACTCATCCAGTATGTGCAGCTATCAACCAGATTTTATCTTTCTTTACCAACCAGACATGTTTTCTTTAAGAAATTAACAACAGAAACCAGACCAGTCCAGTACAAACATGCAGTTGTCCCACATTGGTCAGTAAATGGGAAAAGGCCCAAAGACACCAAGTACACATTCACAGAGCACTAGCATGGGGGAGGGAAAATGGGTAAGGTACATGCCCTCTTCAAAGAAATAAAAATGGAAAGAAGAAATATCTGCCAACTATGAAAAGCAAGTTCCATGATTCAAAAGGCCTCCTCCCCCCATCTTTTCTATCAAAACTACACTTATAGAAGTGCACAGCAACCTAAGGCATGAATAAAATATACCAGAAAAAGTCAATGGTGAAGAATTGTGATGAGAAGCCACATGAGCTCACACACAAGCTCATAGACATGCAAACACAATGAGAGAATATTTTTTCCAAGATTACAAGAGACTCAATGGAATTCATCACTAATTACGGAATAGAGATAAGAGAAATCAGGCAACCTTGAGGAGTTTGTAGAGGGAGGCCAAGACGGCACGAGGTGCAGACTTGCGGGGTCGGAAGTATTCGACTAGGAGGCACGCCATGTGCAGCGTGATGAGCAGCATCTTGTGGTACGCCATTTTCCCGTGCTCTTCTTTGGGAGCATTCTCAAGCTCCTTCAGGCAGCTCCTGAAGATCCCGAGCATATCTCCTCCAATATCACATGTCCCTGGAAATCGATACAAAATCTATCAATAGTGGAAAGGGTGACTTAGCAGGTGGTGTTGCATTGTTGTCTCAACACACCAGTAATCCCCTTATTGAGCATATAAGCAAAGAGCTCGGCAAATGAGAGCAGGGAGCTCTGCGTCATCACAGAAAGGGGCTCCAGCATCAACTGCTGCATCTCCAGGGCATACATCCACAGGTTGATGCAGCGACGGATGTCACCTGCAACAAGAGAACAAGATCAAGTACAGTTCTGTCTCTTTGAGCATTCTCACCAAGGCCTCAACACCAAACATAGAAAAAAATCCTACTGCTTGCTGTTGCAATTAAATAAAAAATACTAATACAGTGATGTGTTAGTAATAAAAGTTATCAATAAAGATTCCTTAAGAGAATTCCATTCATTGCACCAAAGCAGAAACGGAGCAATAGGGGTTGGAAGGAATCCTCACCTGCATCAGCATACACAGCCCCCCTGTACCGTATCCAATACGCAGTATCAGGATGAGCGGGGCCAAGGATCCTCTCACGCACAAGGAGGGCCTGCATCCTCATGGCATCAGGATCAGCCATGGTTCGTTCCAGATCTGACCGGGTCTGAATCTCTTCCGAGTTCTCAAATGCCAAGATGAGGGAACGATGGGGGCACTTTAAGAGACCCACTCGTTCCCGCTCGTCGAGGGCTCGTCCCCACAGCCGCGCTGCTTCCATGAAGTCCCGCTTCTTGTCCAGGTATGTGGCACCAAGGAGTTCCAGCGCCTCAATGCGTTCCCGGTTACTCACACTCGACAAGGTGATCAGGTACTCAACAATGTGTGCATGGCCTGTGACACTTGCTGCTAATAATGGGGTCATTCCTGAAAACCAAAGCAGAGCATTCAATTATGAAAAAAATGAATAAACAGAAATCCTGATGCGACTCAATTGCTTCTTTAAAGCTTACCATAAGCATCAACATCCATCTTGGCTCCATTGTTGAGTAGTAACCTTAGGATGTCTAGACTGCCTGATTCAGCACAGTCGTGGAGGGCCGTGTTCCCCTTCCCACTCTTCCGATTCACATCGGCCTTGAGTGAGATCAGGTAGGCTGCAATTTCATAATGGCCCTTGAAGCAGGCAATCATGAGACAAGTATGCCCATGACGGTTGGCAATTTCTACATCTGTGGGGGTATAAAAATGCCCAATTAATGTATTAATGACTTTTCCCTTAAAAAACCTGCCAGATAGGTGGTTGATTACATTAAAAACCTGTCACATTAACCATTTCCCTGGTGGCAGCAAGATACTATTGAAAATTTTGAAACACATTCAGATATCCCCACCAGGGAAAGGGTAAAGTAGGAAAGTCAGACAAAAGAAACACAAAACTGATGGAGCCAGCAAGGGAGATGGCTGCCAAAGGATAGCGCATTAGGACTTTGAGATTAAACAGACTTCAGCTTCACCTTCATGAATCCATGCAATGTTGCACTATGAGACCTCATGACCTACTCCCAGTTGGGAACATAAACATATATAGAGTATACATGATGTGATTAAGGTACATGCTGCAGCAACCAAGAATGGAACCTCAGCAGAGATAACGCTGCATTGATGCTTATTCAGCATTGCTCAAGTCAAGATTGAGGATAGAGTCCTAACAAATTTTTTTAAACAATATTGAGATCACTGAAGTCAGCCATTCATAGTTGACATGGGACTGTCATTTCTCAAGGTCAGCAGGTCCTCTTAGACAAATCATGAGACAAAATCCTGAGGTAGGAGTTGCATTTGCGAACCTGCTTTGTGGTCAACGAGGTACATGACAATCCTGAGATGGCCATCAAAGCAGGCAGCCCTCAAAGGAGTAGAATTTGTTCTGGTGGTGGAATTCACATTTGCTCCATGCTCCACAAGGAGCTTGACAATGTCTTCATGCCCAGCTGCAGCTGCCACCCATAATGGTGGGGCATCCTCAATCATCTCCCCATCAAAGTTCACTAGAATGAGAGGTTTGAAAAATCAGATGAAGCTACTTGAGGTGAAATGCAACAACCTATCAATCAAGCAACTTGCAAAGCAATGAACTTTTCTAGGCAGAATTACCTCCAAAAGATCCAAACATACAGAGAAAAATAAATTATTTTCCAAAGGGACCTCAGTGCTCACAACTATCCTGATGTCTGATTCTGGTCATAGATATTGTGTGTGACCATCATCAACCTATGTTGGGAGCATGTCCAAAGTAAGCTGCAGAATCCAGATACTCAATATGGTGACATCCTGAATTTATATGGATGAGATGCTACAGTGAAGTTTTCTTTAACAGGTGGCTTTGCCTGAACCTGTTCTAGGGTCTTTAATTATTATTTATTGATTCCACATTCCAAAAAAAAGGAGAACCTAACTATATACATTGGAAAAGCTACAGATGTAAGGGGCTTTCTTCATCAGGAATCTAAAATCTTGGACCTGAGACCTAAAAATACCAGTACCTGCTTATAGCTCAGAATAAAAAATAGTTGAGGAGAGCCTACCTGATCCAGTCAACTCGATATCTGCCTTGCACTTGGTAATGAGGTATTCAGCAACCTGGAAATGCCCATTGCGACAAGCAACCAACAGGGGGGTTGCTCCTTGGATTCGGGTTCTGAGCAGCTCATGAACCTCAGTGCTCGGGCGATGCTCAAGGAAAAACTGCAACACAGCAAAAAGAACCAAATCCTCAAAATCACATCTTCCTGCATGAAAAATTGCAGCAGTCATTAAATTTGCATATGTTGACTGGGTGGTCTACATTTCAAGTATGAATATAAGCTTCTTTATTCAAAAAGAGGGAGCATATCCATCCCATTAATGCCAATAAGTTCTGAAGCACAGTTAATTATCCATTTCCTCTGACACATAGACCTAGACTAAGGCATATTGAAAGAGACAGTGTTTAGTCTTGTGTCAAGACAGATCAAAGTAGACATAGGCTTACAAGATTTAGTTACAGTTTTCAATGAGTAGCACTTGTGTAATTAGAGGTGCAACCATATAAAAAAAAAATGTTTGGACACCCTATTGCACAGATATATTTGCCATATAATATTAATGATATGAATAATGGAGCATTAAGGCAGCAGCAAAACTATTAACAAGTTTCAGATGAATAGGCAAGAACAAACACTGGGAGGAGGAAGAAGGGGGGCAGGAGAAGAGAGATAGTGGGGGAAAGTTCACAAAAAGGAGGGTAGGAGAAACATCACACCACAACTAGGGGGGAGGGGGTTATAGGGGGTCCATTCACTTCCTTGTGTGCCACTGAAAGGTTATCAGAGACACAACTGTACACACTTCCTGTCATTGACATATGAATGCAAAGGGTATGTAGATCCCAAGATGAATTCTAGTGCATATGGTTTTTCTGATCACTCTAGACAAACTGAAGCTGTTTTCATACAAATGTGATTTGTGCGTGCACAAGGATGCACATCCCATAAATGCTTACTTTCCAAATAGAGCAACTAAGACTCCCAGTTATTTCAAAGAGTGGGGTTATCACAATGTACACCCAGTTGAATGGAGATGAGAATAGGAACAGACCAACCACACCATGCTGAGGGTACAAGTGCCATTAATAATTCCTTTTCATCAACACTCTTCTCTGAGTCCATTTACTTTAAACAAGGCTTAAAGACACAGGCATACCATTGTCCATTTCTTACTCATACATCAGGAGAATGCAATTTACTCCCCACATAAGTGTTCAAAGAGCATAAGTAGAAATGGCAGAAGAAAGCCAATTTATTTTTTGCATCTCAAGCACAAATCAGTTTCAACAAAATGACCCAAGGGGGGGACAGAGCATAAGAAGTGAGAAGCGCAAAGAACTAGAAGAAACTCAGGAAACTCTAAATAAGCTAAAAAGTACAGAACCTTCCATACAAACACTACAGGCATATGTAGCTTGAGGAAACAGATTTGTATCAAGATGCCAGAAGGACAAAGTAACGTTGGAACTAAAGAAAGAATGTCTCGTAGGGGTGAAGACATCTCATGTACATGTCCCAGTGTTGATGCTAAATGAAGCACTTGCAAAGGGAATCTGAATCTAATTTGATTACTAAATTTTGGGACACTGGTAAACTGCTTGATCAATGAAGCAGTTTCCTCAGCATATGCAATATTCTTGAGTGCTGCTGACAAACTGTACATTCATTCCAACAGTGTGAGGGCTGGTTTCAGCTCAACATGCAAGTTGTTGGTATGATATCTGAAGGAACTGAGTGCTGGATACTTGTTTAACCTAAAACAGGCTAATCCTTCAAAACTGATGAAATTTGTTATTGTCTCCAAACATCCAAGAAAGAAATTGAAGCTGAAAATGGCCACAATGTCAGGTAATGTAAAGGTTACATAAGGAAATAACACATCAAGAGAATATAAGACGATTGCAAAAAGGATGACTTTGCCACATTCCAAATTTAAATGTTTCAAGAAAACCAATGATCAGGAATCACAAATACAGTAATACTTGCTCATGGTGGGATTACCTTATATTGGCATAATGAATAAAATATCTTCACCACTTACACCTGAAACAGGCAAGTTCAAATTATGCTCTTATCACACTCAGGGTAAAAGTTTACTTCATGTTTATTCCAAATAGAGCTATAATTATAATTATATATAATTATATCATCTCATCATTTGAAGATATTCCTGGTGGTCAAGACATGACATTTTTACCATTTTTAGAGGCATGACACCTGATGCCTTAGTTGATTTACTTTTTGAGTTCTGTTTTCTCATTATATTTTCTTTTCCTTGGTTGCAGACATGACTTTCACACAAGTGAATGAATGAGAGTTGTTTCATGCTTTCTGCATCCTTAATATCAAATAATAATATATAATAAAAACTGTTTAATTCCTATATTCGAGAACAATACAGGAAGCTGATCCAGATCTGATCCACTTACCAAACGGTGATCTTCAACTTCTCTTGAAAACCACACAATATTTTGCAAAGGTTCTAAGAACTGTGATGTACCACTATCTATAGAACTTTGCATCTTCCTGTTTTCTTAATAGACCTAATTAAAATTCTAAATATTTGCCCAAAATTATGTACTTATCTAGTAGATTTTAGTATAGAAAAGTAAATAGACCATATAACACCACTGCCTAAATGCTAAATTCTTGGTTTTACCCAGAGATTCAGGAGCAATAGCATCATGAAGAACTGACATGGAATGGGACAGTCTTTAATAGAAGCATGGAAACTACTCTCCTCAGGCACAATTTTCACAACCAGACAAATTTGAACCCCTCTCTGAATTGGTCTAGGCCTTTGAAAGAAAGGCTTCCTGGTCAATTGAGAAGAATTTATTGGATGCAGTTCATTACCTCACCACCCCCTCCTCAAAAGACCTACATTAGGTTTCTATATCTATGTTGCTTTACATAAGGTGAATAATTACACAAGAGGTCCTCTTCAATAAAATTCCTTCTGCCTCAGCTTCCTTTTTCTGGCCCCATCCTTCTGCATACTGGTTGAGTTTTTCCCTGAGGTAAGTCTTGTCTGAATATCTCCCTTAATCTTTGACCTCATACACCAAAATCCTATTGTTCCTGGCAAACAAGTTTTCATTAAAATCTATTGCCCTCACTCAAACCTGAACAATGATGCCAAGGAGATGCGATGGAACAGGAGTGACAAGGGTGGTGATATAACCAGCCATACCGAATACACTGTGAACATTGACAGGATAGGTTTCATGAGACTCAAAATATTGGTGTTAGGTACTACAGAAGTAAACGCATGAACATCAACGCTAGGCGGAGCATCAAAACTCCGATTCACCAAAGGCCTATGTGGCCTATAATAGGCCCCCATGTTTTCATTGGAGAAGGCGCAAGTTGGGTCAGATACACCAACTTACTCCAGCATCCTAATTTGGGAAGCACGACTTCGTCCTATAGGCCTGGCTGCATTCCGCCCATGAATCTCGGACGTTGTTTGAAGTGGCAGGTCCAGGCGCAACGTTTACGTTAATCTCTCGACAGTTTAGTCTTAGTTATATAGGCCTAGGCCTATCGTCGCCGCGACTCCTGCAGGGATTGAGGACGAGGAAACGCTATGATCCTTGACCCCATTCCTCACCTTGAGCTTGGAGAGTTTCCCGTCTCTTGCAGCGTTGAATACGACGTTCTTAAATTCCATGAATCACTGGATTCACCCGACGAAGACGAGCTGGCTTCAGCGAATATGACCCTGAAAAAGTACGAGGACCTCGGTCGATCCCACTGCCCTCTATGACGAAACTGCGCAGAGGCGCATTCGATAATGGACGAGACTCATCCTCTCCATCTGATTGCCACTCACAGCTATTCTTCCTTCGGTCGGGAGCCCTTATCACGCTTTCCAACTCACGGCCTGCCGCTGAATTTCCTCGAGAGAAAAATTCGGAGCTGAATGCACTGCCGTGGCTCGAAATTGGGAACGGGGAGAGAAGACTTCCTCGCAGGACTCTTCTCGAGCAGAGACTGAGGCCAGCATCTCGGGCCTGAGCCCCGTCTGGCCGCTGGCCAAGGACACGATTTTTTCCTCCCTCCCCTCATTGCATGTTCCTCTGTGAGGGCCTTCCGCGTTGCGCCTTCATCCAGTCAAGGGTAGCACACAAGGGCGGACCTAAATCTTAATTTCCCCTATCACCGACTGGCAGAAGTTTTTATTGGAGATTATTATCTCGTGATGACTTAGATTGACGACATGAAAGATTTCATGCAAATTTTGGCATAAATTCAAAGTTTTCACTTACGGAGTTCTCATTTTAAACGGTTTGAGAGGACACAACGATGGTCGATCGCTTTCCAGCATCTGTTCTCATTATAACCCCAATTGACAGGTGGATCATGCGGGCAGAGCGAACAATCGCTCGAGAATCGAATATGCTCATCCGGTGACAGATCAGTGGAGTCGAGTTCCGCCTGTGTGAGGGTCGACGTGAGAGCTCTTACGCCATCAGGAGGAATATACCAGGGTTCTCCCCTCCGGCAAGGATGGTTCCGGACTCCTTTCTTATTCTTTCTCTTCTGTAAGATAGAATCGCGGGAAATTTTCCGTCTGAGACGCTTCCCGTTATGCGCGGGAGAAAGTGTCACGCACCTAGAGGCTCAGCAGTCTGTTGTGTTGCTCTGCTTTCCCTAGGCCTTCAAAAGCGAAGGCCTGGTGTTCGCCAAGGCAGGCAGGCTTATAAACACGGTTCGTGTGCGCTCCGAGAACGGAGGCCGGAACGCCGCGAAGAGTAAATAAGCTAGGCATCGCGTCTTAAAAATGCAATATTAATGATGGGAGGTTTCCCCTGTTTCGTTCCTTGAACTTGACAATGATTGGGAGAGAAGGGAATTATGAATGGGTTTAGGCCGGAGGGCCCGTGATCATCTGCCCACACACGCCGACACAGCCGCATATAAAATATCCGCATTCATCAATGCGAAAAGGGCACGTGGAAATGCCGTCATCTCTCTTCTAAAATGCCATTTCATGAGACTCGATGAGTCACACCTCGGGACACAACTCATCCGGGACAAAGGCTTTTTCACGGCCTTCCTTCAAGCCAGCCCCACATATTCATTGTGGTCCTCTCAACCTCCCCGCTTCCTCGATATTTCCAGATTGTTCCGGCCACGCCCGGAAATTCCGAGAGTCGAGAATGACCTTGATCACGAAACCTGCATCCCGAGCATGGTCTTCATTTCGTGCATGGTCTTCGTTTCGGGTCATCGTCTCGTTCAGTATCCTGCTTCGTACCCCGTTTTCCTCGCCGATCGATCACTCCGGTGTCTCTAATCACCTTGTTGATCTGAAAGGGCTCAGCCAAAGCAAAACTTCCTGTCTGGCAAGATCGATCCATTCAGCGAAATCTGGGGGACGTGACGCAGCAATGAAAAAAAAAAAACCACATTTTCCTTCGAAGCAGGTCACAATAAAATAGATGATGAAATGGAAATGGGTCAGAAATCAAATCATAGTTTTTTGTCGTGCAGAACCGAACTAATCAAACGTACCATCGCGCTATTGATAGCATATGGCACTAGAGTTATCTTCGCTCTTCCCGATGAATCTGATAGGAGATTTAAAATGTGTGGCTTCTTCCTATCGTGCCTCAAACTTTCGAGTCGGTGGGAGCAGGTTCATATTTTCTTTATTCTCTTCCGTTTATTATGTCATGAATTTTTTTTAAACATCACCTTCAAAATGTCCTATTTGTAGAAAACGAGAAACACGTGTTTTTTTTTACGTATTCCGAAGAGATCTCTCTATCAAGGATTGGAAACAGTTGCAGTTATGGATTATGGAAATCGAGTCGTCAAGGTGAGCTAGGAAACAACAGACCCGAAGGAATTTTTCTTTATTTTCCAGCTCTGTTCCCAAGCGGGAGCGTCTCGCTAGACACGCCCAATTAAAAGGAAATGACTTTACTGGACGCATTTGCTTCATATTAAAAATTAAGTTGAAGCAAGCAGGGAGCTGAAGTGTGGATAGTTGCTTTCCACGCTCCACTGCCGCGGCATGAAATCGGGGAAGTACCAGCTTCTATACGGTAGCCGACATGGGCGATGACCGGATGATCAGATGGAGATCGGGTCGCTCTCTTTATCTTACGAGATGCTCGAGCAACAAGAAAAAAAGACCTACCGTTTTTCCCCCGGTCGCCGGAGGCATTTTTGACCCTCAAAAGTCATGGCTGAGCTGTGTGGGAGAATAATTCATGACAAGTGGGGAAGAGCAAGCCCTACTTATTCCCCCCAACCAGATCCGACGCCTGTGCTTTACGGTGACTTGCGCAGGGATGAATTGTTGAGGGGCGTCGGACGTATCGAAACCGGAAATCGGGGAGTGGGGAAAATCTCCAAAGGAGACACACCGTAACTGGTATTACAATGGTCATGCGAAGCGAAAACCGAAGCAAAGCAGAAATGATTACGACACGGTTTCTAGTTTTTTCATTCCATCGCAATTTTCAAAGGTTCATGAATTTTTTCGGTGAAAAGTGGCTTTTTATCATTAACAAAAATGGTCAAGGAGCACATGCCTAGCACGCTAACTCGTCGTTAGGCGGCCATCTATGAAGAACCGATTCAGCACCACTGACCCTTTATCGTACTGCCCGATGTCCATGCTCCGGAAGTCGATAATGGCATGACGCGATAATGGCATTGGGAGATGATGACGTGGTACAGTAATGGTATGGCTTGATAATAGCCCATCACAGCCAAGTAGTGCGCGTGATTGACACTTCGCGGAGGAATGCAGAGTTTTAGAGGCTTCGTTCAAATTTATTTCGCATTCATCGGCGCTGTTTAACAGGCCTGCGAGAACAAGTATTTGAGGAGAAACTGGCCTGAACACTAAAAAATATCAGCCGGGACCAAGGACAGTGACTGGATTTTCTGACCTTCGCCGGACCAGCACTAGAGGACTCTCGCGTAAGAATGGAGACCTTGTCCTAATGTTTTCACGCTGATTTAAGATAGAATCGACGCCCCTGAGCTTATCCGTGTTTATCTCCTGATGAAGTCTTTTTATTTTATCTCAATTATCAAGAGTCTTGAGAGGATGAGATCGAGATAAGGACAGAAAAAGTGTTGACCCCGTGTTAAAGGAAAAGTGTTAATTATCCCGTGTTGGGCAACAGAGAGTAATTTAATCGAAGTACAAAAATGCTAGTTATCGGAATGGAGCAAAAAGTATTGCAGATGAGGAAGTACTTCTGGTTTCCCTAAGTGAGAGAGGATTGGCTTTTGGAAAACATTGCGAATTATGCAAATGCAAGTCTGCAAAGGCACTGATCATTGCCGAGTGATGACCTGGTCATGTCCCGGTGAGGCTGTTCCCTGCACCTCACAGGATACGTATCTGGTTTTTTAACATCAATGTCGCATACATACGTGAGCCAACTTGCCAGTCGAAAAATCGACGTAAGTGGAGGAAAAACTGTGCAGTCCGCACAGGCATCTCCCAGGAAACTTGAATACGACTCCTGTTTGATTCTGACCGCTTCGACTGAAAGGGAAAAGCCTCCTTTCAGGCTGAGATGAACGGAGGGGGAGCATTCCCCCTCGAGGGATTCATGTCCGGACAAGGGGGAAAAAAAGGAAATCAGTCCATTGTCTTTCCTCCTCTGTCTTCCTCTTTTTTTTTTTTTTAGGACTTCGCGTCTGCGCTCAAAGCCCCCTGAACATATGCTCTATTTCCTTGCAGTTCTTGCCTTTCTTCGCCTTGTCCTTGTCAATGTATCGATATGCTTCCTCAATAAAAAAATCAACCAAGACCATCTGCAGAATTCATGAAATTCTTCTTGCAATAGTAAGGGCGACTCCCAGATAGATCTCCCTTCCCTTAGCGGGAATCTTAAAGCACGTTTTCAGTCGAGCACGTATCCATTCAATAAATGGACCATTCTCTAGGAGAAGGTTCTTCTTAGAGTGACCTTCACAAGTTCTACCGGGACAGTTCACATCCATCATTTCTGCCATTGCGCATATCAGCATTCATACGTGGGGCACTAGATATATAATCTACCTAGCCATGAAGGAGTTGAGATAAAACAAACATGTTTTCACTGTTTCTCAACATAGCTTCCCTTGAGTTCGACGCACTTCCTCTATTTCGCGGGCAGAGAGGAAATCCCTGAAAAATAGATGTATTTGACTTGCTCCTCGAACCATTCTGAAACAGCACCTTTAAGTTCATCGTCGCTTGAAAACCGACGTCCACGCATGTGTTTCTTCAAGTTTCGTAACAGGAAATAATCACTCGGGTCGGGACTGTAGAATGGATGGTTTCATTCCTCAAACCCACAGTCTCTTACAGCAGCGATTGCTTTTCGTGACTTGTGTACAGGAGCGTTGTCGTGAAGCAGCAGAACACTCCTTGTCAACTTCCCTCGTCGTTTTTCCTTTATGACCTCCTTCAAATTCCGCAGCGCAGCAGCATAGGCACCCCCAGTGATTGTTGTCTCGTGTGGAATGTAGTTCACCTGCAAAATTCCCTCCGAATCCCAAAACACGATGACCATGATCTTCCCAGCCGACGGTTGTGTCCGAAATTTCTTTGGAGTGGGTGAACCATGATGTTTCCATTGCATGGACTCTTCTTTTGTTTCGGGATCCCAGTTATGTATCCACGTTTCATCGCCTGTAACGAGTCTCGAGAAAAATGTTTCTGGATCTGCTTCATACAGTTCCAAATTCTCCTCAGAAAAGTGAACCCTGCACTGCTTCTGAAGTGGAGTGAGCATTCTCGGAACCCAAAGAGAACTGACCTTCGACATGCCCAGGTGATCATGGAGGATGGTCAAAACGTATGGTTCCGCCACGTTGCATTCTCGAGCAATCGTAGACACCTTCAAACGCCTGTCCTGCATGACCAGGTATTCAATATTCTGCCGCATTTCCGGAGTAGTCACTTCCACTGGCCTTCCAGGGCGGAGGCCATCTTCGATGGATTCTCTACCCCACTTGAACTGCTTAGACCGATATTTCACTTGATATTTCGAAAGGTACACTATCACCATACACAG